TGGGTTATTTGAGGATTTTTGCTGTTGAATTTTTTAAGTTCTTTATATATTCTGGATATTAACCTCCTATATAGTTTGCAAATATTTTCTTCCATTCTGTAGGTTGTCTCTTCATTCTGTTAATAGTCTCCTTTGCTGGGCAAAAGCTTTTTAGTTTGATGTAATTCTATTCCTTTATTTTTGTTTTTGTTACCTGCGCTTTTGAGGTCCTATTTTAAAAATCCTTGCCCAGCTGAATGACATGAAGTATTCCCTCTATATTTTCTTCTAATAGTTTTCTAGTTTTGGTTTTTACATTTTAAGTCTTTAATCTATTTTGAATTCATTTTTGTGTATGTGAGAGGTAGGGGTCTAGTGTCATCCTTCTGCATATGGATACCTAATTTTCCCAGCACTGTTTGTTGAAGAGACTATCTTTTCCTCAATATATGTTCTTGGCAACTCTGTCAAAAATCAGTTGGCTGTAGGTGTGTGAATTTATTTCTGGGCTTAGAGAATTTTCCTGAATGCATGAATGAATGAACAAATGAACCAACTAACCAGTAGACCCAGAACACTCCAGTGTTGGTGTAAGCTTTAACCACTTGAAATAAAGCACCTTTACCAAGATTATGTGCTGGATATACCAATGATTCTAAAATATCCTTAAGTAAAGGGTAAATTTTCTCATGCATGTATTTGCAGAAGAGGAATAGGAGTAATACTCTGGTCTTCAGTGTATGAAGTTGATGACACTTCCCACTGTCAGCAAGGCAAGCGTCTCATGTTGTCTTTTCAGTTGTGGTGACATAACTTCATGGTCTGTTTTCTGGTTGTCTTCTACCATATCTCTGAAATGAATAAAGCTATACCAGTGTTATCTTGGTTGGGTTGGAAGAAAACTAAAATCTAAAACTTTTGAGCATCTTCCATGTGCTAAGTCCTGAGCCAGAGTCATTATAAGCACTATATTATTTAGTATTGATGAAGGCTCTGTGGGATATTAATATTCCCATTTTACAGAGGAGGCAAAGAAGACTCAAAGATGTTACATAACATATTATCACACATCGTGTCATTTGAACCCATGCGTGCCTGGTTCCAGAGTCTATCCATGTTCTTTTGTCTCTCTACCTATTGGGTTGTGGGTGGTTGATCTAGGACCTTGTGTTTATGGGTGTGGAACTGGCAGGGAATACATGGTGCATGTGAATTTGGGCAATAAAAAAGAAAATCAATATTTCTGGTACTAGCTGCAGGTACATCTCCGATTTTTCCAACAACATGCAATGAATCAATCAGCAATTATGTTGAAAATTCTCTCTATAACACTATATTACACTGTGCATGTAATCCTCCCACAAAATATAACTCTTGTGAAAAATATATACGATAAGGGAAAAAACACACTAGATGGGAGGAAAGCATGTTTAAATCTTCAGCATAATATTTAATGGTAGTGTCATCAGTGTGGTTATAGTTTGGGTAGCTTAAACTTTATTTTTCAAACTAAAAACCCTTAAAGGTAGTTTGAAGAAATAGGAGCAAATTTCTTGCTCTGGCTTCATGTTCCATGAAACTAACTTATCAGATGCAATTCTTCTGTAAATATTCAGGTCACAGAGTAAGGGGTGACTGACTCCTATGTGCCTAAGTCTGCAGCTGGAAATTATGCTTGGCAAGGTCATGAGTAATTTATATCTTATAAAAAGAGAAAAGTGTTGTTTTATTCTAGCCAGATAGTTTGTTAGCCTAACTGTTTATATGCATTTTAGTATTCAAATACAGATGTTCCAAAATGTTTCCACTGTGGGAAGCAGCTGCTGCTATTCTAGCACAAAAAATCTCAAAGAGATTAATATACAAAGGCAGCATGAACCTTAGTGGCAAATGTAGCATCTGCTTGAGGTGGGGCCTGTGATTCCCCATAGATAGTGGGTCTTCAGATTCTCATTAACAGCCTGAAACCATGTTTCAGATCTAAGCTTATTCTACAGGAACAGGAACAAAGACAAGTGATTAATTTGTAATTCACTTAGCTGATAAATATCATCACATGTTATTTGCCCAGGGGCTGTAAAACACTGTACTTTATTTCCTGTGGCAACTGATAGGAATATAGATGTTTGGTCATAACGATTGATGTTTTCAGTTGCTATTACTAGCTTCTGCTTGGTAACAGCTCAGCTCAGCCAGCTTGCTGTCATAAAACATCCATCTACACTTCAGTGATGCATTCACAGAGCACTTTACAGTTTACTAAAGGCATTCACGTGCGCTGGTTCATCTAACCCATCCCAGCCCTATCAATTTTGTATAATATTGCTATTAGCACTGTTTTATAAGTAAAGAAAACATGGGTGAAGAAGTACAATGACTTTAATTGGGGTTATATAGTCAGGGCCTGTTACTCTAAATCCTAATCCACTTATATACTATACAAAGCTGCTTTTCTAATTTCAGAGGCTATGATGTGTGCTTCATAAATTATACCATCCTTTCTAGAGATGCTTACTTCTAGAACATGCACCGTGAAGAGTCCCAGCCTGACAGCACTGCCTGGTAACTGGAGGATGCCAGGCGAAGCTAATGTAGTAGTCCTTCCCTTTTCCCCCATATCCCAGAGGGGAAATGCCCAAATATTCCCTTTCCTTATGTTCAGAGAGTATCAGTAAATGAGCTCCTGTGTCTCCCTGGCATTTGGAGAAATGAAGAGCCAGAAGCAGAAGATCCCAGGGCTATCATTTGGAGTTACCATAAACCAGAAGTTCCTGAGAACAGTGACGCCTGGGGTGTTGTGCCTGCCCGGAGCCTTATAAATCTATCCCCTGCAGTGTTCAAGGGCTCATTGCCTCCAGCCAGATCTACTATTTGGAATTATCTAGTGAATTATTTATGGTTTACACATTTGACAGGGGCTCATGACTGGGTTTGAAAACACTCAGTTTCTGGCTTGCTGCTTGGGCCTAGAAATGTCTGTCTGGAAAACTGTGGCTCAGAGAAGTTATGTTGCTAAAGATCCCAGAGCTAGTGAAGGGCAGAGCAGTTCTAAACCAAGTGTGTCGATTCTAAGCTATGCTAGCTCCATAGTGAAAGAGCCTGTATGGTTCGCTTTGAGGGCAACAAAGATTTGTGAGGGCAGGTGGGGGTTGTGGACTGTGTCCTCCCTAGACAGGTTTGGGTAGAGAAGAACCCCAAAGAGTAAGGTGAGGAGGGCCCACTACTGAAGTGGAGGAAAGAGGGTGAGTCTCTGGGCCTGCAGCAAGGGGGAAAAGAAGATTGTTGAGATAGGGGGATGGGGGGGGGAGCAGTAGAAACGTCAATGTACAATGTGTTGACATGAAGTCCTAACCTCAGTCTCAAAGAGGCTCTCAAAGTGGGAACCTGAGGCCAGCGTATATCCAAATGGCATGCTCTTTGGTGACATCATTGCTGCTTCTGCCAGAATCGCACTGCTGCAGCATTGTTACTGTCGGGGAATTGTTTCTGCTCTCCACCACTCAGAAAAAACCAAAAAAGTAAATTTCTAAGTATGTATTTCCTCTCTATTTTCTAAACCTTTTTGTTGGAACATCTGTGAAATGATAAAAGCAACTTAAAACAATATAGGACACTTTGCAAATATACTATTTGCAAGCACTGTTTAAAAAAAGGGTCTCAGTCATTTTGATCAAGAACTGCTATTTCATAGGCGAAGAAAATAGGGTAGCAAATCACTCATATCTATAAAATATTAATAAAAGTGTTCTGAAGTGCACAGACATAGAACATATCTCATAAAGAAATGCCCTTACTCCATGAGGGACAGCATCCCCTCATTGTTATTCCCTAGCCTGCAGGCCCTTGGGAAGATTACTTGCCTACTTGCACACCCTTTGTTCTGGCAGGATCACATGTTCCTGCTACTAAGAGGGAATACCATGAAGAGGGGCTACATGACTCTAGCTATCAGCTCCTAATGAAAGAAAGAAAGGATAGGCAAGCTTCCAGCTTTTAGAATAAAAAGAAAGTCAGTAGAAGCTGAGCATAACTTCGCATTTATATCTCTGCAAAGAAATTAGAAACTGAAGACTAGAATCTAAGACATTATGTACTTGTTAAGATTCTAGAAACCACGTAACATCTTTGTTATTTTTGTTGTCCTTGTGTGTTCACTATACCAACATAGAGACATTTCCCTTAAAACCTTTAAGACAAAGGGGTTTGTCTATTTTTCTTTGGACAAAAAATAAATGAGTGGCAAGCAATGTGGAGAGCTAGGAAGATACCATCTCTCTGCAGGGAGAGGCTAAGGTTAGAAGAAACTCTAGGCAAGAAAAGCTTGAAGAGCCATTGTGAGCCTGAGAAGGGGGACCACCCCATCCAGAGGTACAGAGATTGTAACCCACCCCTTGTTTTCCTCTGAGACTCATCCAAATCTAAGCTGTCCACAGTGACCAGCATTGATCAAGTTACATTGAAGGAACAAAGAGACAAGGACCCTCCACTGCATCCTGGGTCACAAAATCATTAGTCATCATGGTAAACATCTCCCTTACCATTAAAGTATCCATCTTCTTTGGAAGAAGACAAGAATAGAGAAATGCTCAGGAGTGCAAAGAGCCAAGCATGGATTTCTCCTATGATTTTCCTATGATCTATAATATGTAGTAATTAATTTTGGTTTTCTTCAACATTTTCTTATACCACAGAGATTAATAGGTATTAACAGATATAATATCATAATTAATATTAGAAATGTCGATAAGTCTTTAAACTGACATGAAGATTATATGGAATGCAGCTTATTTCTATGAGATTAGCTATGGGAAGTTACTGATTAAACTGCCATTTTCTTTTATTAGGGAATTGTTTGGATATGCTCTTTATCAGTTCTGCATAGGTCTGTGGAAAACTGATAGAAACACCATTAGGAATTAGATTGGATAGTAACAAGCAAACTGTAAAATTTTATCTGCTGAAACATACCAAAGCCATTTTCTGATGTATTTTCATTTTTCTGCCTTATCCTTTCTCTCCAGGCAGCTTCATCAGCGTTGAGCAGTCTGGGCCATGTGTACACAGCGATTGGAGACTACCCCAATGCCCTGGCCAGTCACAAACAGTGTGTTCTTCTTGCCAAGCAATCCAAAGATGAACTCTCTGAAGCCCGAGAACTTGGCAACATGGGAGCTGTGTATATTGCTATGGGTGACTTTGAGAATGCTGTGCAGTGCCATGAGCAGCATCTGAAGATAGCCAAACACCTGGGGAACAAGCGAGAAGAGGCCCGGGCCTACAGCAACCTGGGCAGTGCTTATCATTACCGGAGAAACTTTGACAAGGCCATGTCATACCACAACTATGTGCTAGAGCTGGCGCAGGAGCTGATGGAGAAGGCCATTGAGATGCGGGCCTATGCCGGCCTAGGCCATGCTGCTAGGTGCATGCAGGATTTGGAGAGGGCTAAACAGTACCATGAGCAGCAGCTGGGCATTGCTGAGGATCTCAAGGACCGGGCTGCAGAGGGGCGAGCATCCTCCAATCTGGGTAAGGACAAGATTGCTTGAAAGATACCAGGTCAATGCCATGAGCCGAAAATAGCTGCAGTAGGCCACCATCTTTTAGGAATCTGTGTGCTTAGATTCAAAAGAATCTCTTTATTGTGTATGTTATATCTTTCCTTCAGACATATTTCCTTGGAGCCTATCTGCTGTAAATCACGTGAGTCATCATAGTGCTCTAAGGACTAGAATTCTGAAATACTGGAAAAACAAGATACCCCAACCTTTTAATCTGTCTAGAGAGAAGAGCAACCAGATTTGTCTAATTAGAGAGAAGGAAAATGAAATGATTCTGTAAAGCTATATTTGGTTTAAATGAAAGAGAAGGAGCTAGAAAATAATCAGTGGATGGGAATTTGAGAGGATTTTTTGCTTATAGAGATTTCTTTACTTGGTGAATTAACCCTAGAGGAATTGCATTTTTTTCCCTCAAAATAATGTGTATTCACAAATAATATTGCTAGTTTTAGTAGAAATGCAAAATTATGTTTTGAACAATCTATTTATTTAAGTAAGATAGATTTGTAGTCACTGTTTTGATAGTACCTGGTTACAGTTAAAATATTTAGAATTTGGCTAGTTTATATGAAGTGGTAAGAAACAATAAGTAATTGGTAACTGGATACTTTTTAGAAGGTATTGTTGTTATTTGATCTCTATATTCAAACAGATGTAGGTACATAATGAATGAAAGATACAGATGTGTTTGGAAGTATAATATAAGCTGAACTCATCCTGGTGCCTAGATCCACATTCATTCTATTTCCACAGGGATTCAGTGGGGGAGAGGAAAGGAGAAGGTAACCTTACTGTTATTAGTGTATGCTTATCAGATTTTAGTAGCAGTAGAAAGTAAAACTCAAGCCCCTTTTTCTTATGTGACCTACCAAACCAAGGCATCCCCATCTCTATTTATTTAATTTTAGCACTATTCTTCCCCTCCTCTCTACCTCTGCTTATTTTAACGAAATGTTTCTTGGATAGTTGTTAGAGAAAGTCTTGCAGATTCCTAAGATGGTTCTGAAGATGGTATTGAGATCAGAATGAAAGTCTGGAGAGTCTGACAAGAACTGTAGAAAGAAGCTCTTAGCTTTATATATTCAACAGATTACAAGTATTTATAATCTATGTAATATACATACATATATAATTTACGTAATATACATACATATTGTACCTTAGGTATATATTATTCCTGAGGCCAGGTGTTTGAGACCAACCTGAGCAAGAGTGAGACCCTGTCTCTACAAAAAAATAGAAAAAATTAGCCAGGTGTGGTGGTGAGTATCTGTAGTCCCAGCTACTCAGGAGGGGATCACTTGAGCCCAGGAGTTTGAGGTTACAGTGAGCTATTTCATGATGTTGCCATTGCACTCTAGCCGGGGTGACATTTTGAGACTCTGTCTCAAAAAATAAAAAGACATTTCATATCTCAAAATTATATCATTACTGTGAACACACATGAAACTCAGTATTCTAAAGAAACTTATAATTTACTTTTCATTATATATAAAATATATTTATAATTAAATATAATATTTATATTTTGTTAAAATGTACTTTAATAATTTAATTAATATATTTAATTAAATTTTGTGCCTACCACATAGCCTTGTAATAAGGATTAAATGAAACAATGAAATAATAATTTTATTAATATAATTTTATTGTTTTGTAGAAGAAAAACCTTTTCTATAATATAGCAGTCACTTTGCTTTATCTTTTTATATTTCAATTTTTATACATTGAGAATTTTTTTAAAGTGTAAAGAGGCCTGGCTTTATAGGCAAAATGTTTATAATTGTAGGTGGTAATTAACATATGTTAATTGGGTATTTTTCTTTGGTAATCCTCAGAATGATATGTGGGCCTGTGTTCAAAATAACCTGTCCAGATGACAAAGGTTCATGAGCCCTCACATTGAAGTTCTTGGTATAACAATGTGAATCTATGATATTTGTGTTTTATAGGACTTATTTGTCCTCCCAATAGCCCCATGAGGTAAACTATTATTATTGTGTTTCAATGATGAGGATTCAAAGTTTAAGGAACATTTGTGACTCACCTAAGATTATAGAGTAAGAGACAGAGCTGGAAGACTTCAGGTCTAGGATTTCATGTCCATAGATGTTTCCATGAGAGAACATTCCCAGTGGAATGGTGGATCCTAGTGGGAGCCATGCTAGGATTACTTGGGCTAGGGCTGAAAGCCAAAGATGCTACTTCCTCCCCAACCCCCACAACCCCATCCATGGGAAAATGAAAAAGAAAAAGCACCACTAAAAGGGTTATAGGCCACCATGAAAGAGTGTTTGCAGCTCACGCCCTGGAGCAAGACAGTGAGCATTCTTAGAGAAGTATAGATACTACCAGGACAGAAAAATTCTTTTTTCCTAGAGAAGCTATTGTCTCTTGATTACTCGCACTGAACTTTGCAAACATTTTTTCATTTAAATCCTCACTACAAGGCTCTATGGTAGGCATAAAAGTAAAGGCACTGGCCCAAGTTCATATAGTTTATAAGCAGCAGAGGCAGGATCCAAACTCAGGTCAGGAAGTTCTCTTTTGCTATAGCCCTCAGGACCCTTACACATTTATTGACCAGTTAGTTCTTCTGCTTGAGAAGCATAGACAAAACTATACAGATTGTCAAAGTCTAATAACGTCCGTCATGTAGGAAGTCAAACCACACACCTCTGCCTTTCATCCAAAGCAGTTCCTATTAAGGGTCATGAAAAGGGAAAATACTAATATGAATACAAAAAATTAATATGTCCGAGGCCCTGAAACATTTTTCTAGACATCTAAAACAAAGGAAGAAGAATGTTTTTTCCCTGTTTAAAAGGAGACTTGAGCAATGGAGAGCATCAACCAGAGCAGGAGATTTTTCTGATCAAGCACCAGAGGACTGGAAGAAAATGATTCAGACCGTCATTAAGATTATGACATGCACATCCTGTGCTGTGCCCCACACCTATCAGTGCCTAATACATATTAATAATATTTATTCTCTCCTTTAGGTCAAGATTTGTCACCCTGCTTGTCTAGACATTGCTATTTAAAAGGAGCTGTGATTTGCTTACAGATACAGCATATCTGTAAACATGTGAGCTCAGGCAGACAGGGCCGTAAATCTTGGTCAGAGCTGCAGTTTGGACTGTTGCAGGAGAGGCTGCAGAACTGTTGTTGGAATAATGAAGTAGATGCTTGCTGCCAGGTCCCAGAGTTGTGTCTCCAGCAGGCAGAATCTAGCAGTAAATTAGCTTATGTTTCAGCTTGGCAGTTGGCACTTGGTTCATTTGTAGATGCTAATTGTAATCTGATGTTATCAGCAGCAGGTAATTGAAATGGTCTTGATGAATTACTTAATTTCTTTTAATAGCTGAGTCTTCAAGAACTGAATAAAGAAGATAAGGTGATGGGGGGAAAACACAACAGCTCTATCTTTCTAATTAGTGCTTGGAGGTTTTTTCTTCTTTACACAAATGATTATGAACATGTGAAGCTGAATAGATTTATGAGTCAAAACCACCCCCAGGGGCATTTCCCATAAGGCAGCCCAGTCCTGAACATTGATAACACTTCTGTTAGGACTTCAGAAAGGAACACTTGAGTGATCACTTTGGAGAATATGGATTTCTGTGCTCAATTTTGTTTTCCAGGGCATTGCCTACTAGGGGTACTGCCACTTTGGTATTCACCCTACCTTCAGACCTTCTTTAGCTATTTTCTGTGAACAATGCTGCCTGGCACCATTCAGTGAACCTGGGAGCCTCTCAATGATGTTAGTTATTGGCTCCAGTACCCACACCTGGCACTGGCACCTCCCACACCTGCCTGTCCCTAAGTCTTTCCATCTGCAACAGCTCCTGTGTAGTCTGCTTTGCCAGCAATGGTGAGTGCAGATGTGACCCTGGGTCCTGCCGTCTGTGCTGGATACCGCACACTGGACCTATGCCACGTGACTACACTGAGCTTGCGGGTCTGTCTTCTGGAATCATTTGGCTCTGGTTTTAGTCTCATGTTCATTCCTTAAGCAATCCATTTGTTTTGGGATGACTTTGAAGGCATTTGCTTTTAACTGGTTTTGAGAAAATCAAAATAACAGCAGAAAATGTAAAGCATCAGAATCAGGTCTTTTAAATAGACATTTGGTGATGATATAGCAAATGATTATTCAGATCACCTCTGTGGTTCGCCTTCATGGAGAATTCTATTGGAAGACAGCTGAATTTAGAGGTGAAGATTCCAAATCTCTCAGCATGATTGAGACAGTAAATGCCTTTGATGAAAAAAAAGAGTACATTTCAGGGGCTCCGATCATGTTCTGCTTCATATATATATATATATATATTTCAGCATATTATGGGGGTACAAATGTTAAGGTTATGTATATTTCCCATGCCCCCTCTCCCCCCTCCCACCTGCCCAACACCCGAAAATGTTATTCCAATATGTCCACTTAGGTGTTGACCCGTTAATACCAATTTGCTGGTGAGTACATATGGTGCTTGTTTTCCATTCTTGAGATACATCACTTAGTAGAATGGGTTCCAGCTCTATCCAGAAATATACAAGAGGTGCTATATCACCATTGTTTCTTAAAGTTGAATAGTACTCCATGGTATACATATACCACATTTTATTGATCCACTCATGAATTGATGGGCACCTGGGTTGTTTCCACACCTTTGTGATTGTGAATTGTGCGCTATAAACATTTGAGTGCAGGTGTCCCATTGGTAGAGTGTCATTTGATCTTTTGGGTAGATGCCCAGTAGTGGAATTGCTGGGTCAAATGGTAGATCTACTTTAATCGCTTTAAGGTATCTCCATATTGTTTTCCACAGAGGCTGAACCAGTTTGTAGTCCCACCAGCAGTGTAGGAGTGTTCCTATCTCTCCGCATCCACGCCAACATTTTTTGTTTGGGGACTTTTTGATAAAGGCCATTCTTACTGGAGATAAGTGATATCTAATTGTGGTT